ACCCCGCATGTGACGCCCAGGAGGCTGTCACGAGTCAGCCCGGCCCAGAACACAGAACCTATTTGCTGTCCCAGCGCTCATCTAATTGATCTAGACTATTTCTCTCGGATGTCGAGGACTGTCTTCCAGACAGTGACAAACTTGAAAGTACCGATTATTTCAACAACTACATTTTGCTTCCCCTGGTATCTTTAGTGCCCACCTGTGACCTGGCACCGTTAGGGTGCACCAGAAGCATCTATGACTCAGAGGTCATAGGTCTCGAGTGTCCCTTACCCATCAGTCAAACTCAGCACAGCAGAGCAGGCGCTGCCATCCTCCTTCCAAGCAGAGCAATGGAGAAGCAGCCAGGTGCTGCCTACGAGCCTGGCCTTCAGGCTTCTGGCAAGTTCTGCTGTCCTGCTGGTCGCCAAGTGCGAGCACACAATGTCCTTGAACAGCAGAACCACAGTGATGACACAAGGCCATGCATTTTCGTCCACAGTTATGTCTACTGGGCCACGCACGAGCTGCCGGGAGTGGCTCGGGCAGGCAGCAGGGCCATTTCCCTCTCCTTGTTGAGGCCAGGCCTGTTTGGTTGCACCTGGCCAGAGGATAAAGAACAGTTCGAATCCACCAAGAGCAATGGGAAATCCATGACAGTTGACAGGAGGGAGGACACATACAAACCCAGGCAAGGGGAAGGGCCCGGCCGTCTTGGTGCTGTGTGCAACTGGCCTTGAGGCCGCGTCACTGGAGAACTAGCGCTCCCTCCCTCCCACTAAGGTAGGGAATAACGTGTCTGGGAAATTCCCTAAGAAATCGGAAAAGAGGAAGCCTGGCAAAAGTGTGGGTTTGGAGCCAAACAGCTGAATCCCGGTTCTCCTCCTGTAGAGTGGTAGGCAGGACCTTTCCTCGGAGTTACACAGGATTTGGGATGTCTGGCATACACACGGCTGACACTGGTACCTACTGGGATTCAGGCTGAGCATCCCTCATCTGAAATGCTTGGGGCCAGAGTGCTTCCAGTCTCTATTCGGACTTCGGAATCTCTGCACATCCATAGTGAGACCTCTTGGGGACGGCACCTGCATTAGCCCATCATGGCACTAGCAGAGACTCGAGGCTGGTGATGGATAAACAGTTCACTAACTCGAGATTCTGGCCACAAGGGTCCAAAGGCATCCCGATAAGATGGAAGAAACTTTGGGCACCGCAGAGTGAGGTCTATATCCCTACAGGCCCTACGTAGTCTGCTTAAACCAGGACTCAAACATAGGGCTCCCCGACCGGCCAATCACTGGTCTCTTCCCCAAAGCCCCACCTTTGTCATCATAATGAGATCAAACTTTCACCCTCTTAATCCCACTACAATGATGTAACACATGAATTTGGGGAGACATACAAATTATAGCAGGGCCCAAAACTGAACACAAACTCAACTGTTTTCGTGTGCACCTTAGACACAGAGCCCAAGGATGCGGCTGCACACTGGCTGTGCTGCACGCTTGACTGCGAGCTGTTACATGAAGTCAGATGTGCAATTTTCTGCTCACAGTGTCAGGTTGGTAATCAAAGTTTCAGATTGGGGACCAGCAGGTGGCGTGGTGGCTAAGGTGCTGGACACTCCCACATGGCCAACCATGGTTCGAGTCTTGGACTTGGTGGCTTGCTTTCTCATTTTCTCTTTCTCTCTCTGGTCAAATTAAAATGAATGAATGAATGAATAAAAATATATTAAATAATTCTTTTTTGAAGTTTCAGATTTGGGACCAGCAGTTGGCATAATGGTTATGTTGCTGGACTCCCATGTAGCCGACTACAGTTCAAGTCCTGGACCCAGTGGCTTAAACTCATGCCGGGTGTATGTGCATGTGTGCCCAAGATCCCAAGAGGAGAATGGAGGAGAAGGGATTGTGGTATGGCCATCCCCCCTGGGAGGCGATATCTTGCTTTCTATGTCTCTGTCTGTCTGGCAAGCACACGCACCCTATAGCAAAAACCTCTTTTAAAAAAAGTTGCAGATTTTGGAGCATTTTAGATTTTCGGATTAGGGGTGGTCAACCTGTATTACAAATAAGTTTGCTCATTCTATGGCTGTCCATTAAACTGTCCTGCAGGTGATGGCGTATTTAAGTAGAGCTGTACATTTTCCTAAAAAACCTCCACCTGGCATTTGCTGGAGGGCAGGACTTGTATTTTCACCACCTTTAAGGCCCAAGCAAGTTTCACTAGCTGGGCTGGGAAACCTTGCTGCTCCCCGACCCCACAGACACTGGGATCCCACGTCCTGCTGCGGGAGGTCTGCACCCACCGGGTCATGTGAATGGGGGAATTGCTCCTCTGGGGTTCTACTATTACGGGAAAGCCTCATGCAAACACCTGAGAAGTATCTACATAAGCTCTAGAGGAAGGAGGAGAGCCCACTTTTTAAAGAGCAATAGGTTTGGAGAAGGTAGGGAATACAATAAGGAACACAAAAGGAAATACAACAGGAAAACTATAAGGAACAATTCAAAGCACCATAGTTCTGACTCAGATAAACACACTATTAGTATTCTGCTGTTTCTTGGTTTTCTTAAGATATGTTTCTATTGGGCTGGTGATGGCGGAACGGTTATGTATTGGACTCCCACATGGCCAACTGCAGTTTGAGTCCTGGACCCAAAGGCTTTAAACTCACGCCAGGTTTGTGTGTGTGCGCACCCAAAATCTCAAGAGGAGAACGGAGAAGGAGCTGTAGTGTGGCCATCTTCCCTGAGAACAGAGAGGGGACTGCAGTGTGAGCAACCCCCGCGGGGTGATTTCTCACTTTCTAACTCCCCGTCTCTCTGGCGAGTACATATTACCTATAGCAAAAATCTCTCTAAAAAAAGAAAAAAAATATGTTTCTATTAGATATGTTTTTTAAAAATTATTTAATTTTATGTATTCATTTTTTTTTTTTTTAATTTGATGAGAAAGACAGTGAGAAAGCAAGCCACCAGGTCCAGGACTCAAACCTGCCATATGGGAGTGTCCAGTGCCTTAACCACCATGTCACCTGCTGGTCCCCATCATTAGCTATTTTTTTTAAATGGTGATCATACAGTATCATATGAAATGCTTTGTGACATACTTTTCCCACTTAACTATATAGTGAAAATTTCCTGTTAATAAATAAAACAGTAAGAAAGCAAGCCACCAGGTCCAGGACTCAAACCTGCCATATGGGAGTGTCCAGTGCCTTAACCACCATGTCACCTGCTGGTCCCCATCATTAGCTATTTTTTTTAAATGGTGATCATACAGTATCATATGAAATGCTTTGTGACATACTTTTCCCACTTAACTATATAGTGAAAATTTCCTGTTAATAAATATTTTTTGAAAACCTGGTTCATGTCCTGAACTCTGCGAGACTCCATTTTTACCACTAAAAACCAAGTCCCACGATTTCTTTTGGGAGAAAAATTGGTTCCCAATGGCCCCAAATGTGCTGAGCCTGTCAAAGTGCCCTCTGGCCCTCACCCCCTCAGCCACCAGGAACAAAAGCCAAGTGGCAAGGCCACTGTGACAGGAGTGCACCCTCTCGGAGGCCAGCTGTGCTAAGCTCTTTGCACGCGGCCTCTCTTGGTTCTGATGATCCCAGCTTCATGAGTGCCTGTCCTTACCCTTGGGACTGACCTGATGACCAGTTTGCTCTCAGAGTGGGGACACCGTGCTTTGAGGGTCTCTTCTGGGAGCTCCAGAAGGGTCAGAGGTAACTATGTGGCATGTCCCCGCCATGAGGAGAAAGAAAAGCCCACTGCAGCAGGAGCTGTCTGGGGTCACCGGGGCCAGGGCAGCAGCCTCTCCGGCCTCACCCAGATCTCACCTTGTGATGGAGAAGTCAGGTGGGTTCTGCATGGTTGGAGTGACCCAGCACACAGGGTGGTGTCCGACAGCTACCAGGCTTGGTCCCTGATCAGAGCGTGCAGGGATGAGGGAGTCATCCCTCCTGGCCGGCCGGTGTCTGGAGGGGAACGGGAGCCGGCCCAGCTCAAGCTCCCTGCAGGGACACACCCAGGGCCAGCCCACCAGCTCAGCGGAGTGACACTTGTTCTGTTCGGCAGTCAGCAAGCGTTTGCTGAGAGCTCAGATGGTGCAGTTCAGGCTTTGGGCTGGTGATGGTTATTTCTGCATGTCAGTTTGGCTAGGCCATGGGACCCAGAGATGTGGGTCCAGTATTGGCTAGCGGGGTTCTGTTTGGGCTGAGCGGCGGCCGTGAAGGCGTTTTTGATGGATTACTACTTGAAGCGATAAAGCACTTCACCTTCCATAATGGATGGGCCTTACCCAGTCAGCTGAGAGCCTTAAGAGAAATACGCCCGAGGTCACCGTGGGACGTGATTCTGCCTGCAGGACCGACGTCTTCCGGGCCTCCGGATCGCTGGCCTGCCCTGCAGATTTGGGACTCACCTGCTCGTACAATCATGTGGGCCAATTCCTTGACAGAAATCTCTCTACCAATGCGTACACGTGCTCCTGGCCTTGCTTCTCCTGACTAATAAAGGAGCCTGTCAGTATCTTACGCCAACTACTCAACTCTGCCGCCAGAGCTACAAGGCAGCCGTAGAACGTAAGCAGTGGATGGGGCTTATTCCAATGAAACTTCATTCACAAATCAGGCAGGGGCTGGAATAGGCCCCTGTACTTTGCTGACCTGTCTCCTGACAAATAACAGTACCTGGCACGGAGAAGGCACTTTAAGTTATAAAATACCATTTTGAAAAATCTGTAAAATAAAAGTGAACGAATGCCCTTGCTGGCTGTAAGCCTGGCAGCAGCAGTTCAGGACTGCAGGCAGACGACCGGAGCTTTCCGAGGAGCGGTCTGACAAGGACACGGCGTGAGGGTCTTTCCCCGGGCATCCCAGGGAATCAACCCAAGGGAGAGAACAAGAGCTGTGGGAACACACAGGCTGCCTGCCCCCTGCCCGGCCTCAGAACAGCTCAGCCAGATCCAACCTCACGACTCCAGAAACTAGTTGGAGGCAGCAGGACCAAAACTATTAGAATTTATTTTAGCAAAGAAAATGTCCAGAAGCACCCCGGGGGGCCGGCCTGGCCAGGCAGCAAACACCTGAAAAAGCCCGAGGCCACATCCGGCCTGTGCGGTGGAGAGAGTGGGCCGTGCGGCTGCTCCAGGCCTCAGCCGCCTTGGGGGACCCAGAGGAAGTCCAGTCCGCGCAGCCTGAGCTGCTGACCCTGAGGAAGTGCTCAGGCTGAAAACCCAGCTCCCCCAAGACACTGTGGTGCTGGCTCTGAGGCTGGCCGCTCCTCACCGGGCGTGGACACGGCCATGCAGGGTACAGGCAGGGAAGGCACCGCCTCACACGTACTCCCCGCAGTCCGCGATGATCACCTTCTGCTTTGGCTTCCCGTCCTTGCTGCCCTGGGCCTGCGGCAGAGGAGCATAGTCAGGGGAGAAGGGGGGGTGGGGAGTGGCTCAGGGACCCCACCCCCTGTGCACCCCCACCTGGATCCCCCGCAGAGGGAGGGCTGCCCCCTCTGCTGAGCAGAAGTGCCCCCCACCCCCACCTCTCAGCTACGGAGCACCTTCCGCAGCCTCCCCCAGGGCTGTGCTCCAGGGCCTGGGCCGGGGCAGGCCCTCCCCGCCACCGACCTCAATCTGCCGCAGGACATCCAGGCCTTCGGTGACCTCCCCGAACACCACATGCTTGCCGTCCAGCCAGTCTGTCTTGTCACAGGTCAAGAAGAATTGGGAACCATTCGTGTTTGGGCCGGAGTTGGCCATGGACAGCAGGCCTGGGTGGGAAGAATATGTCAGTACCCTCCTCCCCATCCCAACTCCTCCTGGGCAGGGAGCCTGTATAGACCGTCCACAGCCCCAAGCAGGCAGGCTCACCACACCCAGCACAGACCAGGCAGATGGGCCTCCTTGTCTGCCATTCAGCCAACAGGGAAATGGGGTGGGCGAGGTCGTTTAAGTGTTTTTGGGTTTTTCTGTTCTTT